TGGTTCCTGCAGGAGGCTTCTGCAGACTTGCCAAATCTCTGTGAAAGATGCAGGAGAAACCTTCTGGGACAGATATAAATCAAATTGCATTAGAAGTATAGCTAAAGAGGAAGGCACAGCCTGTCGCCAGCACACCTAGTCACCTCCAGTCTTCCGCTCACTTGGAACATTTCTTAGGCTCTACTGAACAAATGTCAGGATACTCCTCATTTTTAAACAACTTTCCAATTGTGCCACTGCTTGTTTGTGTATATTTATATGTATTTAGATAGATGGAAATATGTGCACACATTGATGTCTGTTAACTCTCACTGAATACAGCAAAAAAGTCAGTCCTTAAAGAAAAGATGTGCCATAAAACCTTTCCATAATATCATTATAATAACCTTCATATTTAAATTAGATTGCAGGTATAAATTCAATAGCATAAGAGAGTTTTATGTTTCAGAGATTTCCAGGCTGACTGTGGATAGCTTAGTGTGATAACAAGACAATCAGCTGTATCACAGTGCTCATGGTCTTCCTTTCACCTTCATTGCTAGATTTCAAATTAGTAATACTATCCTGGGGTAATGCTGATGAGAAAGGAGATCCAGCTTCCCTCTCTTTTGTAATTAAATAAAAGTGTGTCCAGCCTGTGTGATGTGCTTGGCAGCAGTGACATTTTAATATTGTTAAGAGCAGGAAATATTTTCCTTGCTATTAATAAGGTTCAGCATCAGCTAAAGGTGGTGCCCCACGGGAAGACTTTAAGCAAAATTGCTATATTCTAATGCAAAAGGGGATAGAAATAGGCTGGTTTTGTGAAAGTATGGAGTGATCCTGGCTAATGAGGAAGGGACCTGCCAGAGCTATTTTTAGTTCCACCCGCTGGTTTCACTGCTATTCTTGTAGCTATGGCTGGCAGTGAAATAGGATGGTGGTGTCTGTTCTCATGTAGAAATGGAAGAAGAATGGAAATATGTGCTTGTAAAAAGATGAAAAGATAAAAAGAGTAAGAGCTGAAGAAAAAGTGAGCTTCCTGAGGTAGCTGCAGATGTAACATTCATTTTATCTTTCCTTGGAAGCGTTTTTCTTCTGCAAGGCCACATTTCATGTCTGATCTAAGGGCTAACAGTGTGCCAGGTGCAGTCTGTATTGCAGGAGAAGATCACAGTTTTACATGGAAATGACTACAGTTAAGAGAAACCATTAAATAATTTCCTTTATTGTTTTGGAGACATAAACCAATACTTCAGCTTTATACTAATGTTTCACTGAAACAATGAGGCTGAGAGGTATTCACTTTATATATCATCACTTGGGAGAAGGAAAATGCATCAATGAATCATATGCAGGATAGTAAGACATTAAAAAAAAATAAACATGGAGTCAGGCAGGGCTCCTTGCTGCTGTTATTGTGAAGCAGCAGCACAGGCTTTCTTCATTAGTAGAAAAGAGAATAGTATATACACAAAGAACACTTTACACAGCCATTGTGATTATTTGCTATACCTGCTTTGCTTTCTATTTCAGCAGTGATTTTTTTTTTTTTTTTGTCCTTCCTGGGAGGAACAAGTTTTGGATTTCAGAGTTTCACTAGGGAGATGAAGATTTTATTTCAAGCTCCATTTTATTTGATACTGCTTTGTCCTGACTTTATGAGTGAAATGGGGGTGTATAGAAAAGAGACAAGACAGGGAGACATGGGGAAGCTGGACTTCAGACACTCCAGAATCAGAATCCAATAAAAGTTGACTTTAAAACTTACAGTAAGAATAAATGAAAAGATGAAAACTTGCTCAGTAGGTTGATTGGGTTTTCTTTTTTTTTTCATTAAGATTCATAAGTTGAGGGGTGGTGGTGATTCAAATAACTATTTTATAATGATAATTTAATTTATTCAATAAGGATGGTCTTGTGCTTAAGACCAGAATTAAGACCAGAAGTTGAAGGTTCAATTGCCATCAAGAGTTTGACTGCACTCTAGATCCTCTGATGATAGTACTTACCCTCCTGATCTCAAAGGGACATCACTGAGAGCTACCTGCTGCTTCATCCTCTTGTAGCTGACCCTTAATTGCTCAGCTGTGCACTTTGCAGTGACAGTAAGGGGCTTTTTCCCTCTTCAGACCAACCCAAAGGTTTGTTTTAACCATGCACAAGCCATGAAAGAAGCAATGATGGGGTTTGCTGGAGCAGAGCTCCTGGCCTGCATGAGCAGTTACTGCATCTGTTGGCACCAGGTTTGCTGTTGATCAGAAACGTGATTTGCTGCATCATATTGAGGACAGTGCTCTGTGCTTGTGTAGTGGTGTGATGTGGAACATGTCAGCCTGCTGTGGGGCTTGTGTGAGGAAACTGAAGGGCAAGTACACTTCCATAAATTATATGCTTTTGCTGGGGAAGAAATGCCAGGTAGGTGAGGAACTGAACAGGAAAAAAATAATTAAAATTTTTTAATGGAGTAGTATATCTTGTCATCCTGTGATCTGTATGTAGAAAGAAAAAAAAAAGTTCAAACTTTTGTTGTTTTCTTAATCTCTACCTTCTTTAAAATGCGTGGATGAATCATACTTTAGAATTGAAAGAACAAACCTCATTTAAAACCTTACTGAAGTCACTCACAAAAGCCCTAAAACCAGCTAGAGATGGGGCTGAAAGATGTGTGAGAGCACCCAGGATGGAGGTTTGAATTATGAGTTTTGTGTGGCTTTTGCCACGGTTGTGCAGTGAAAGCACAGTTAAATCATCTTCTACTGCAGTTTCCGAACTCAGGTACAAACTGTGGCCTGATCTGGTGGACAAAGACGTTCAACAAGAGCTTTATCAATGTTTAGTTGTTTATTAACCATATTAGTCCATCATTACCCCATTTCTCATTGTGTGAATTGGATGATTTTTTTTAAAGGGGCAAAAGGATTTGGGTTTTCTTTGGTAACTTTGATCAGGCTGAAGGCTCTTTCATGTCTCTCTAATGTTGCTTGTCTTCACCCTTCTGTGTGTGCTCTGACCTCTCTTAGTGTACTTGTGGGGTGTCCCCAGCATGGCTGGCTGGCAGGAGATTGCCCTGGAAATGTTTGCTGAGGACCTTCTGGCAAAGACTGGAAGGATGGTTGTGTTTCTCCTCTGGGGATGGCACATAGCTACACCATCCTCCCAGGGTCCTCAGAGGACCTTTGCAGCCTTTGTGCATGGCACAGAGGGAGGTGGGGACCCAACGTGCTGCAGAGGGAAATCCCAGCTGAACCCAGCTCCAAGCCATGGTCCTCAGGAGGTCCAGGAGCTTCACTACAAAAAGCCAGGACAATGATGATCATTGAGGTGATCATCAAGCATGTGCACAATGGAGGGAGATACTGGGTTAAACCAAATTATATGTGTGGATCTCAGCAGGGTTTGACCTTCTCACCATTTATCGCTGTCGGAAGAGAGGCAGTTCAGAGCAGGACCAAACACAGACTTTCACATGCCAAGAGAACTGCATTGGCAGCTCCACAAAGCTCCAGCCTGGCGTGGGAGCCTAGCTAGGGTAGAGTATATCTATTGTGCCTTCCCTGTGTTGTTCTGAGGAATCTCTGTTTCGGGCACCAAATAGCAGGAATTATATTTGCGTATGATATCACTTCTGTAGAAGAAGCAAGTTATTCATGAGCAGTAGCATCTTCACATCAAATACAACTGCAGACATGGTTGAGAAAACAACTGTTTAATTGAAGTAGAAATGACACTGGGAAATTAAAAGAGGCTGCAAAAAACTCTCGAGTAGTTATTACTCATTCGAAGCAAATCCTAGACATGTAAGGCATGGGATGCACACAAAATGCTGGGAGAAACAGAATTTATGGGTAGACATACCTCTGCCCTCAAGACATATGTTCTTTCTTCAGCTGATCCCCCAAACTCTCTTTGAATAAATAGTTCGGGATAATTTTTCTCTGATTCTCTGGAGTACAGGAGCAGTGCTTCATGGGACAAAACCCACACCTGACAGCCTGGTCCCCCAAAATATAGAGGCTACTGCCTGTCCCTCTAGTGGAATTCCTGCAAAGACAACCTGCCTCTACAGTGGGTCCATCGGGTGATTCTTGTGACATTAGCACCGCTGAGCACAGGGTGTGATGGTGCCACGGGCACTGTGCCTGCACAGCGATGCTGTCTCTGCCGGGCTGTCATTGCCCAGGCTCCTGCCTGTGCAGACCGTGGCAGAGCTGGGTCTGAGAGGCTCCGGAGAGCTCTGTGAGGAAGGACAGCCATTGCCAAGTATTTTTGTCCTCGGTGCTGCTTATCCTGAATCAGTTCTCCCAGCTCCCTTCTGTGTTTTCTTTTTCTTCTGTAGCAGCTGTCTGGGATTTCAGCTGTTCTCCATGAGCAGAGGTGCCAGCACCCTTTTAAAATCACTCTGGAAAAGTAAGGGTGCATTCTCTATTGTGCAAGAAAGAAGAAAGGACAAAGTTTGGGGTTTGTTTGTGGGTTTTTGTTTTTTGTTTTTGTTTTTTTTTCCCTTATGCTTTCCAAGTGCTTGTCAGAGATAACTAGAGGAGGTCTGGAAGTTATTCACAAATTAATTAGCCTCTGAAACGCCAGGGCTGCCAGCCACGGCAGCTCAACCTGGAGCAGCCGCATCCCTGCAGCAAACAGTTCATACTCCCGTTCCTCTCCGGGGGAACGTTAAGGGTTAATCCAGTAGCTGTGCATTTAATAGCACAATTTAAAGGGGAAAAAATGACACCCTTCTCCCCTGCCTTGCTGGTTGTGGATGGTTCGCTCTGCCTGGCTGATCACATGCTCCCGAGCCCCCGGTGCTGCAGCAGCCCCAGCTGCTGCTGCTGATGGGTCGGTGCTGCCCGGGACGCCCCCGGCCCCCGCCTGCCCATGCCCGGCAGCTCTCACCTCCGCTTTAAGGGAGGGAGGGCGCAGGATGAGCCCTTGAGCATATGGGTGGAAATTTGGGAGGCACCCATTCTCCCACCACCGTTTCCAGCTCTAACCATGTCTATTTGTTGTTGCCTTTTTTTCAGGGACTATGGATCTTCAAAGAGAAAATCAGGTAAGACAACAGGCTTTTCTTTTTTTTTTTTGATGTACTGCATGATTACAGAGAAGACCTTGCCCCCTGCTTTCCCCTGTTAAACCTTCCATTTATTGTGTATGGCATGAAATTGTATAGCAGTTTAACTTTTTATTACTGAATCCTGCTCGAGATAAGCATCAGGTTTTTTTCTTTTGCTGGAGTGAAGATATCCACCTTATATAGTATTGCAGTTAAAATGACTGCTCCTCTCTGGTTGTATTTATATAGCTCTGTCTCAAATCTGAGAGGATAATTATATTAAATTTCTTTCTCTTTCATTATAAATGGTCAAAATGCAGACTCAGAGTTGGGGTTCTTTTCTGGAGGGGAAGGGGATCCTTTTCTATTCTGATTTGAATCTTTTATTTTGCCTTTCCAAAAGGTTCTGGTGAGGCTTCTGATGCAAAATGTTCTCAATGTCTGTGCCTGGATTTGGGCTGCCTCAAAGGCTCTAGCTCAGTGTTTTGTTTTTAAAATCCTGGATTGAAATGTCCTGTAAAACCCTGATTTGAAACTATATAAATATAATTTTTCCCCTTCCCATGTAGCTCTTAGTGATTTTTACAGATGTGTTTTCAATAGGGACATGTAATTATGGGCCTCTGGGTTTGGCTGCTCTGAGCTGGATGTGTCAGGGCTTTCTATTTTTTTCTTTTTAAATTTTTTTTTCTCCAAGCAGCATTGAGCACCTGCAACTCTCATTGACTTTGTTTGGAATCTTGGATGCTCCAAATTGCATTCAGGGAGAGGCCTTTCAAACCAATAGCAACTCCTGGAAAACTCTGACATGTGTGCAGGGGAGGGGAGGATTTTTTTGATTCTTGCTTTTTAAGATGATAAAGAAACACTGCACTGGCTTATTCTCTGGGAAGAAAGGGAAGATGAATGTAATGCACCGTACTCCAATGAAGATCACTGCCTAGATTGATTTGTTGGTTAATTATTAGGGCTTTTAAGCTGTCATCCTGTAATAAGCTAAGTGATACACTTGAGTGAAGCTTTTGGTTAACCTTGATGACCTCTGCATCAAATGGCAGTTTCCTATGCAGGCCAATACTTTTGGTACCTTTCCCTGAATTTCCCTGAGGTGGCTTGTCATAATGAAGAGGCAAGGGTGGTACAAGGTGCTGGTCCAACACAATAAACTAGGGCGTGCTTTGTCTTCCTAATCTTCTAAAAAACTTCTGTCTGGGTTGCACTTCTAGGACCTCCTAAATGTAATATTAAGGAAATATGTGTTTTTACAGCAGCCTGTGAATTAAGGAGCAGTGCTTTCTCCAAAGAGGCTGACCATAAATAAAAAGGTCCAAGTAACTTGGTGGAAGGCAGAGCTGAGGGTGGGAGTTCCTGGCTCAGTGCCACATCCTGAACACTGGTGGCTTTTGGGCCATGTAAAGCCCTTTGAAAAACATTACTGAAGTCTCTGGGACAACCTGATTTAGCACTGACCTAGAACAGCATTTAGAGAGACCAGGAGAGCTTTGGGCTCATCGCAGCAGTTGACATGAAAGAGTATTGCAGCTCATGAGGAAGAGACGCAAGGAACTGCTTTGGGAGTGGAAGGAAACTTCTGCATTTCCATTTCTGTGCCTCTGAGGGCAAGTTGGAGATGATCTGCCATGACACTGTGAAAAGAGCAATTAAGTTGAGTCAGTGTAGCTGAGATGCCATTTGTGGATGCTGGACACTCTGATCCCCTGACCTGAGCATCCCAAGTGACGCACACGTTCATCCATCCTGTGAGGGACAGACAGTCAGGTCGGGCTTCCTCCTTTGGGTGTCCCACCTCCCCATATCTCCTTCTGGGACTCTTTCCTCTTCTCTGCTTCTCGGTGCTGGGCTACTTGCACAGCTAAGGCTTGGAAACAGAGGGGCTTAGGGACGCTCTTTCTCCACTTCACCCTGTACAAAGAGGAATGCGAAGCAGCTCTCCGAACAAAGTGAGCTGCATAAAAGAGACTCTGTTCTTGGCCATCTTCTTGCTTGATTTGAGAGTGGCAGAGGAATGCTTCCTTCTGTTCAGAGCTGGATACTGTGGGAGCGTGTACGCAATGAGCGAAGGAACATGCCAAGGGAGTTGGCAATTACAGCCTCTAACAAAGACCAGCTTTATGACACTTGAACAAGTGATGGGGTAAATAAGCACAGATTTTCAGGATTGCTGTGAGGGTCTTTTAAGATAAAAAACAGCTTTGAAATGTAGCTTCCTCTGTAGGTGCAGATATTACTCCATCTGTTAGTGAGAGACAAATCTGCACTTTTAAATGCAAGCACCTCCCAACAAATGAGACCTGTGAACACGTCTTCTGTCTTGACCAAAGATGTGCTGGGAGGAGGATTTTGGGTGTGAGCACAGCTGTCCCACACTGTCCAGCAGGAATCCCACAGCTGCTGTGTCTCAGGCATGTGCAGGCACGACACGAGCATGGCCAATTGCAGAAACATGTGGAGAATGCCTCTAACAGCCAGCGTCACCTCTACCCTGACCTCTGCCTTGCCAGAGTGAGTGTCTAGCTAGTCCTGTGCTTGCCCCTTAGAGAAGGGAGAAACTGGATAAGTTCAGAGTTTAACAGGAGTTATGGAAACATTTATCGCTGCAGCTAATACTGGTTGTAAACATTTGAGACCTCCTGAACCAAATGCAACAGCGTGGCACATCCTTAGCTAAACAAAAGGGGGCCTTGGGCTGATCTGGGGCATCTCTGCATGCCAGCCCCGAGCCAGGCTTCCTCTTGTGTAAAGTGCTATGTAAACACACAGCCCTTTGCTTGGGTGTGATCTAATCATGAATGCTTTAACCTGCATGCAGTCAGCTTGAGGACCTGGGGCTTCTCTTGAAGTAACTGAGGCTCTGTGAAATCACAGGCATTTGTGGTGGCCTGAACTGCAGTATGTGCTGATACCTTGAACCTGTGAGGCTTTATCTGACATGCTGTGGAGCTGCTTCAGAAAGCTGCCTTCCTGTTTCCACGCAATTTAATTGTTGCTCTATGACCATCTGTCAGTGCTGAAGAACCCTCAGCACAACTGTGAGGAGTGGTTACCATGGGCATATTCTATATGCTCACAAAAAGTGGTCTCATCTTGGTCCATCCAAAGACCCTCTGTAGTAAAACCAGAAGAAATTACTCTTCAGACTCCAATTTGTTGATCCCATAAGCCAATGAACAGCTACTCATTTGTCACTCAAAATAGACATTACTTCTATGCTGGCATCCATGGTGTGTTTTTTCTGTCCTCAGATCAAAATAAGGGTAGAATTGCTGCAAGTCTAGTAATGGATATTTGCATGGTACATTACAAACCACAAATTAGGTTAATCCACTCTGCAAACCCTACCAGCTACCATCTGTGCATGGGGAACTAATTAACCCTTGAGATATCTGCTAATCCTGGTGTGGCTTGTAAAACCAATTGGAGTGTGTTTCTTCCCAAAGATGTCGTTTTGTCCCCCACATACCCCCTGCTGGCTAGAGCAAGCTGCAGACTCCTGGAATTAAGATCATCTTGCCCTCCTCCCTTGCTGAGAATCTTTCTTGGCTGATTTCATACCAAAGCTGTCACTTCCCAGTTGTGAAGCTGAAGCAAACATCTGGGACCTGGTGTTTGGTGGTGGCAATGGGGAGTCGATGTGGGCTTTACAACTTTTCTGCACCAAGTCTCAGTGCTTCTCAACTACTGAGAGGATTCACCTTGCTAACTATGGGGTCAGACCCAGCAGGAGAGATGCTACTTCACCTTGGCTTTCAAAACAGTGGTGTGGATCTTTGTCACCTGCCTGGTAAACGACCAAGTCCTTGTGCTTGCTACTTTGAGTGTGCACTAGCAGAAGCACTGCTGGCCATCCCCTTCTGAAATCATAACAAAACCCCCACTGCTGACAGCCCAGCTTGCTGCTGGGGGCACAGCTGGCTTCAAGCCACTGCTCAGCAGCTTTCTCTGGCACCTTGTTGCTATGTGGTAGGATGCTCCTCCAACTGAGGGGGAACAAGCCTTTAAAAAAAAAGTTATGGCTCCTTCAGTATGCAATGTCTCCTTTGCCTCGTTGTTCAGTTCCTGTCTGCATCAAGTTGGCTGAGCTTTGGCTGAGTCTGACAGCTGAAGTCTCTTTAAACAGCTGCTCTAATTGAGCACTTAGGATATTAACTTAACAACCTGGTCCAAGCCACTGCTGCCTCAGTGAGGATGCTGATGAAGCTTCCCTAGATGAGTGAACCATCTTTCAGCTGGGTTCCCACGTCCAATTTTTGGGCTAGTAAGATTATGGCTACACACAGACAACAATCACCGCTTTCTTTTCCTCCTGTAATCTAAAACTAGGAAGGATATATCCACTGGCAAGTAAATAAAACTTCAGAGTCTGTTGGAAGCTACTTCACAAACTTTTTATAGAAACATCTGTAATGCTCTCTCTTCCCTCAATGGGGAAATTACTAAGTAGAGTTGAGAGAGTTGCAGCAATGACAGAAGCAGGGCCTCAAGTGAGAAACAAGCAGATCATTGTAACAACACCAAGGGCCCTCGTGGCTGATCACTTTGTGGGATGCTGCTTTGGGATTACGGGTGGAGCAAAAGTTGTTTCTTCTTTACTAGGAAAACCATCTTCCTCCCTCTTGTGCTGAGGATGTGCATCCTGTCAGCCTCAGGGAGTTGCCTTATGCTGTTTCTTTTTGTTATTAGGGATAGTTTTTTCTTCTTCCTTTGTAATTACAGAGGGAAATGGCTCAACTTTTGGCTTCTTCTGTCGTTACAAGCTGAGCTATGCTGATCGCTTCACAGCTTAACCTTTTCGGTCCTGTCACATTGCATGTGCCTAGCTTGCACTTACAGCGCCATCGCACGTCCTGCTTTTTCTTTTTATAAATTTTTATAAATTTTTAATATTTTCTTAACTTAGTTTGAACTGCCTCCTTTGAGATGATACAGAGAAAATTAGTAGTGTGTGTTTAATCATTCAACGGGGTCACAAATGTGTG